AATTGATTTCAAGAAATTATTCGAAATCATTTTTCTCGACTAAAATTTTATTGATTTTTATTTCTATTTTATTCGATCGATCGAAGAATTTATTCGAAATAACTTTAATTATTTACTCGATAAAACTTTACTCGAAGAGTCTGTTCGAAATATTAGTCGAGCAAAGCTTTATTCCATGAATTCATCTAAAATATTTCTCAAGTAGAATTTCATTCGAAGAATTCACGCGAAATATTAAACGAATAAAATTGTATTCGAAGAATGTCCAACCGTAATACGACGCGACGCGACGTGACAGTTAAAGTGTTAGCCTAACGATTTTATAGTATTACGTACTCGTAAGCTGACTGAGGAGGCTTCCCATGTTCCATCGACGTTCTTGCAATAATTTAAGAGTCTATACTTGCTTAATGTCCCACTGCTTGTCACTATCATTTTTAGCCGCGGAAACAATGAAACTATAACGAGGTCGAGCCAGTACCTACAGTATGTGTGTGTGTGAGAAAGAGAGAGAGAGAGAGAGAGAAGCAGAGAAGCTATCGCCGCGTTTATTAATATTGCTGGGAACGAATACAGCTTTCGGACAGCTCCGCCAACAAAATGGGCCGGTTTGGACCCGTTTCGGCCCGGGATAACGCGATTTCACAGCAGACAAGGTTTTATTAGATGCCAGCCAGCGTGGCATACAAGGGCTAGCAGCTAATCACACCAAGATTATAGCAATTTGCGCTTCGATTTCCCGGTCCGTATCGGCGATCAACTGTAAAACAGTCATTTTGATCTTTTCATTATTCGTTCGTTCATTTATTTTTTGTTTAGCGCCAACGAGTCAGGTGGCCTTTTCATTTTTCTACGAAAATTTAACACAACGGTAACAATAGTAATAATAATAATAATAAGAAGAAGAAGAAGTGTAAGTAAATTAAATTGTTTTTTAACTCCCGCAAAATGTCAATTTACCGACAAATCGGTAGCCTAGCCACGCAGAATCAAAGGTTGTCGTTCGAATCGAGTGGTTTTTGTTAAGTCCGCCCCCGCAGGAACCGATTATCGATCTTCCGAAAGGTTCACAGTTATGAACTCGGCCATTCTTTTTATCCAATCGGTCAGCGATCGGTTCCGACGCGTGCTCAAACTGTCCGAGTTGATTCGATGTCCGCGCATTGTTTTATAACAGATCTTTTTCTCTCGTTCTCTCTGCTTATAAAAATCGCAGTTGTTCCGCTCGATTCCATTCGCAAAAGCGAACTTTATCGAACGCTGCGACTATTGCGAAAAATGGTCGACTCGCCTCGGTTTTATAGCCTCTATAAAAATTATGGCTGCGTTAATCGGGTCGAATTCATCGAGCACTGACAGTTCTTTCATTTTATTTCAATTTCATTCTCCTGTTTCGCGGTTGTTTTTTTTTAACAGTTCTGGCAGATGAAGAAATTTTTTAAGCAATTTCTACTTCATTTTAAATCGCTAAAATAATTATTCTTTACGCTACGATTCAGTAGAAGAAAAATATTCTATTCGCGACATTTTATTCGATCATAAATGAAGCAAATAAAATATTCCGAATGGCGGCACAAATGTCCTCGGTGTTCTTCAAATAAAATAGTGCTTGAAATATTATGTTTTCTTCTTTTTACATTTTTACATTTTTCACAACGAGTAAAATATGTTATTTTCAAAAGTCCGTTCTTTCGAAGAAATACAGTATTTTATTTATAAAAGTAAATTCCTTCGAACAAACACAATACACATATCATTTCCATAAATACAACAGCGACGATATTTACGCGTTCCCATTTACGTGCCTCACCCCGATTACAAATTCGAGGGAAACAATGGCGAGTATGAATTGTAAAAAGGCTTCCATTGCAACAATGTAAACGTGGGAATGAATCTAACGTTCGAATAGATTCGCCAGTCACTGGTATATCCATCCAATTACGTGTACGCGTGACGCATACAGCACTCCGGAGTTAGATGCGGCAGAAATAGAAAAGAATATCAAAATTAATAAGTCGGAGTCGGCGAGTACAATAGCGTTTGTCCGTGTGTGTACCTTCGGCCGAATCGTAGACCGTGGCTTTTATGCACGGAACACGATGAATCGCGAAACTTTATTGACGTTTCGGAAAGTTTTTATATTCTATAGTCGTGTAATATAAAGTTCGAGAACACATTGAATAGTTTTATTGTGTTCGTAAAGTGCAAACAACACGCTTTATCATAGAGTACCTACAGGGTGGTACTTGCAGCAAATGACGGATTTCTGAGGTTATTCGAAGTAATAGTTTTTTTTTGCGAAAATGCAATTTTTTCTCGGCTCTGTGGAAGTTATAGATATCAAGTTATTGATCTCTTCTGACTCCCAAAAATCCGGAAAATCAATTCCACTAGTCTCGGTAACTGGTCCAAAATTTTGCTATCGATCTAAGTGGACCAGTTACCGAGACCAGCGGAATTGATTTCCAGACATATCCCAAAAATCCCGAAGATGAATTCTACTAGTCTCGGTAACTGGTCCTCTTCGGTCCATAGCAAAATTTTGGACCAGTTACTGAGACTAGTAGGATTGATTTCGGGACAGATGCTGGTGTGTATATAGATCGATTTTTTAAGGAACAAACGGAAATCAATTTCGATTTAAATCCTATATTCTATGGAATGGAACACTGAACAAACATCCGCGACCGGATAATAAACGAAATATCCTTTCTCCGCGTTTCTTTTTCGTGTTTGCTCCGCAAATTGTCGGCGTGGGGTGTTTTGGGGGCTGCATCGATGGAGTTATAAAATTTCCATTATTCCGGGATTGCGTGTCTCGAAGGACAGCCTGTTTTTCCTTCGCTTTTTTTGCACCACCGTCGCCGTCACCGACGGTGATTCGTTCCGACGATATTAGGTTGCCGCAGAAATTCAGCGCACGTGAATTTTTCAGCGAATGGGGGAAACTACGATCTTGTTTGTTCGGGGGAACATCGGTTATCATTTATGCAAGCACGCCGATCGTCGATTAAACGATCTCTCCAGCTTCCCTCGAAAACTGTCGAACATTTCTTTCGCATTCTTAAGTACAGAAAATCGTCGAAACAAATTTAATGATTCTGACCTGGTTTAAATCGTCACCTAATCAGTCAATGTTCGACAAATTCATCGAAATAAATGGTTGTTGTGCTAGGAACAACAGAGAGACTAATGTGTACGAAGTATCTGAAAAATATATATATATAATATAATATATAATATAACACGACTCGTCTGAACACACACAAGGTTTCACGTGTTATGTTTGAATTGCGTCTGCAGCGTACGTATGTATTGGAGCCCGATACCGTTTACAATAAATAAATCAAATGAAATGGAATCACACGGAAATAGAAGCACCGGAAAATTTCATTCTCCGGCGAAACGAACACGAATATGTCAGTTTTTCATCGATCGGGGCGCAGTTAATAGATTTACAGCAAGCGGAATCATCGAATATTCAGCGTTGTTAAAATTTGAACGGAGCTTAACACGACTTCCCTTTTACCGGGCACGCCGAGACGAGCCGTGCAGAGAGGCCAAAACAAAATAGACGCGATCCCGTTCGATCGGAGGCCTTCGAAATTAGTCCATGAAAATCCGCGATCGTATAAATATATGTTCTCTCGCTCGATTTATTATTAATGGATCGCCTAGCGAGGCTCGTGATTTCTGCATCGATCGAACGGTTCTCGACCGTGCGAGAGAAGACGACCGGCTCTTCCGATCCAATTGAACGGCGAACAATAAATTTTGCTTCGTTAAAAAAAAATGCTGCCGCGCGTTCGCAAGACTTTTTATCCGCGTCGTAGGACGAGAGAGTCGTTCGAGCTCTCCCGATCCGTCCCGAAAGGGAGAGCCTTTCTTTTTTAATTGGTATCGAAACAAAGCAAGAAGAAAAGTTATTCCCGACTGCGAATCGGGTGAGAAGGGGTCGCGGAGAGCGAGAGAGAGAGAGACTTGTTAAAAATTGCTTTGCTGTTCGACAGAAGTCGATTATCGACGTTTCCTCCTCCGTTCCCAGGAAGTCTGTAGACAGAGCGAGTCATTAGTAAACCGAACGGACATTCTTCGTTCGTTGAAATCCATGAAAATCCGAATAAATATTAATGAGTTGTTAATAATCGTCGTCCCGACCTCCGCTTCCTCCTCCGATTTCTTCGATATTATTTCGTCGGATTTTTCACTCCCCAACGGCTTCCGCGATATAAGACGATACAAATATTGTATACGAATAGGAAATATCAATAGAAATATCGATATATGAGTTATTATCATCTTTTATTTTATGGTATTTTGATATTTAAGGAGACCGACCACTCGTAATCCGTAAGAAAATCAACAAAGCTTTTAGAGACTCTTAAATCTCGTATCGAAAATGCTTTTAATTTAGAGCCTTGATATCGGTCGCGGTTTCTCGAGACAAGACAATACAATATCGATATTATTCTCGACCCTCCACTCTTCAGGAAGCCCCAAATACCCCGTGTTCGTGGAATTCTCCATCGCGACCAGAAACTTTTAATTGACCGGCATTCTATAAATTGCGACTTTTCGCATTTTTATTTCATTGTCGACCTTTCCTGGAAGATGGGAGGCATCGATCCCGATGCTTTCCTAATTTAATGTAATAGTAATATTTTTTTTTATTTGTGACGCCTTGTGTGTTCACACTGTTTTGGAGGCTCTGTAGAAGTTATGCGCATAAAGTTATTAGATGCCTTGAGAGTCCCAAAAATCCGGAAAATGAATCCCACTAGTCTCAGTAACTGGTCCACTTAGGTCGATAGCAAAATTTTGGACCAATTACTGAGACTAGTAGGATTGATTTCCGGAGAGATGCTTCGTTGATTCGGACATAATAATTTATTGAATATTATAAAATTAAAATTCATCTCGATTACGATTTATCGTGATCAAACAAACATTTATTCCAAAGAATTTGAAACTTGACTTATACAAATTTTGTTTGCTCGCAGGTATGGACGTCCACATTTTCTCGCGAGAACGATCGAGGCGATGTCTGCGGGAAAGGCGTGAGTAGAAAAATGCTAATTACAAGAGACAACGTTCAATGAATTTTTGAAGCTGGCGTTGCCGAAATATTGGCGAGCCAATTCAAAAACTTTTCTTTATCGAAGAATTTAATTAAATTATGAATTTGATTCAATTCAATTTAATTTAATGTAATTTAATTTATTCACGGATTTGATTCGCTTGTTTACGCTTCATACAAGCTGTGTATTTATACACAAATGTAAAAAAAGAAACTATATTTATAAAAACTTATAAATTAAGTGAACTTAAAGTTGAAACAAAGCAACGGTCGCACATATTGGTAAAAAGTAGGCTGCGGATTTCACGCATTCATTATGCAAATCGGAAGACGAAACGCAAAACTGTGAGAACATTTGAAGAGTTTAAAAATACCTATTAGGATTATTAAGCAAAGAAATTAAAGTCCACGCGGCTCGTGTATCTTGTAATTAGTACAAACAGTTCTTATTTTGCATACAAATTCGCAGTCTAATTATAACCAATGTAAATCGAAGAATCTTCAAGGCAGCACTGGTCGCGCGTACAATGTGTTTCTCAAAAGAGTGGTTCGCCGAGTCCGAGATCGCGCGCATTATCCACAGGTAACATTAAAGAGCAACCAAGGTAAGAATGCTAATTACTGGTTATACTCCGGATAGGGTAGCGGAGCCGGTTACCGCGGAGTGACCAATTGCTATGCCTTAGCGCTTCGTTTTCCGGTGTAATCAACCTTATACTTATCGAATGAGACGTATGAATTTTTTTCGTTCTTTCGTTTTGTCCGTTCTTTTAAGTAAAAGAAAATTTCATACGTCTTATTCGACAGTTACAAAGTAAATCGTGCCCGAAAGCAGAGGATACACGGAGCAGCCTACATTTCTCAATTAATTCACGTATCGTCGCGCGGAGATTCATCGAATCGTCGCGAAACAAACGTGCAACTTTTCTCCGGCATTAAACCGTGTAATCGGCGACGCGACCGTTTCCGACAGCAATCGCGACCGGCTGATAAAGCACCGGCAAATTGCCGATCGATGAATCTTGTCGCACGCCTCGTCTCCACGGTCCCGTGGAATTTCTAATTAATCGAACAAACAGGACTTCCCTGGAAAACGGCTGAATAGACGCGTAATAACCGTCATTGAAATTTTCTTTTCGATGGTCGCTTAGTGGAAACCGGTTTCTCTCGACGGACCGAGACTCTCTCACACGGACACGGATCCACGTCCACGGACTGTTTCCTGAACTCTTGCGCACAGTTTTTCAAGTACTTCTGTTGATCCGACAAAAATATGTTGCTTACAAAAGCTTATCCATCTTCTGTCGACCACATGATCAAAAATTTATTAAAGATTGATAAATATATATATATTATAAAATTAAGTGTATAATCAATGATATAGCATAATTATAATAATAGAATTAATTATCTGGAATTTCAAATAAAAAAATACAAATATAATACACAGATCTGTCCTCCTCATCGATGCAAGTATACGTTACCTCTTCGACTCCAGAAACAAGACAAGAAATTCTAGGAAGCGGTACAATGACCTGGTATCGACACAGGTGAAACAGATGATCTATCAGCAGCTTCCCCTAACCGGCATACCATTTTCCCGTACTTTGACGCCCGCCTTTTTGCTCTCCTGTTTCTCTCTCTCTCTCTCTCTCTCTCTCTCTCTCTCTCCTCATATACGATTCTCTGTCTGCCGACACATTCTTGTCCCAGCACACATATGCTTTTCCCTTTGCCCAGCGCCTGAATCCATCCACCACTTTGCTTTGCCAGGTAGCGAACTCACCAGGGCTATAAAGAGTGGTTTGGGACCGGCAACGTGCGATGCTAGAAAATGTATGCTTCGCACAATACGTCACCGAACTGCTTCGTCTTCGAAAATCACTGGACTGGTCGCGAGATTTTGCGAATTCTGAAAGTTGGAACTCTGAGACTACGAACTCTGAAACTCTGAACCTAGGAACTCTGAATCTAGGAACTCTGAACCTAGAAACCCTGAATCGAGGAACTCTGAATCTAGGAACTCTAAACCTAGGAATTCTGAAGCTAAGAACTCTGAAGCTAGGAACTCTGAACCTAGAAACCTTGAATCGAGGAACTCTGAATCTAGGAACTCTGAACTTAGGAACTCTGAAGCTAGGAACTCTGAACCTAGGAACTCTGAATCTAGGAACTCTGAATCTAGAAACTCTGAATTTAGGAACCCTGAACCTAGAAACTCTGAACCTTGGAACTCTAGAACTCGGAACTGGAGATTCGGATGCTAGGGTGACCGTCGCCCGTTGGTCTCCGATGAACCGTGAATTTCGGCGAAAGCCATGGTCTAAAGTTATTAGAAAGCGCCCGAAGGGACTGGTGATTCCGCGCGACTCCCTTCGGACTGTCAGCCGGCCACTTTTTGAGTGTCAGCTTATTTAACAGGGAGCCGGCTCTTGCTCGCGCCATCTTGTCTACACAGAAAGGGAACGTCTTTTTGTCTCGCTACGCTCTTTTCCGTCTCCCGTCGCCACTTTCGGCTCCCTGTCACGGTTTTTTCCGCCTTTTTCATTCACCGGCACTGCTCGTGCCCGGGCCGAGCCTGCCGCAGACGCTTTCGAGACTGCTGGGAAAAGCCTCGCAGGCTGCTTCCATGTTCCGACGCGCCCCGTTCGACCCTTAGATCATGCGTGGCGGCTTCGGATAATCTCGCTGCAGCGAAGATATAGCATCTGCGTGACGTCACGTGTGGCCAAGATCTATAAGCTGTGCACGTACGATGCAGGTATACTGCTCGAAAAAGTTACAGCATAGAAAAATGTTGGATCAAAATTGGCCAACTTCGATCGACGATAACTCCGCGAAAAATCATCGTAGGCTAGTGATTCTTTTTTTTAATTAAAGCTCGAAACCTCTGCTTTAAGACACTGTTTCTGGATTTTAACTTTCGATACAGCCTCGCCACTGTGACCCTTTGAATGCGAGGCCACGTTTGTCAGATCGAACACTGCCAAGTTTCACGAAGGGTACGTTCCTTGTACATTTTTTCCGGAGATGCCGTTTGCAGCCGAATGAAGTTCGATCCCACCTCTTCGATTTAAAAAAAAATGAAACTTGGCTGCAATTTTTTTTCGCAAAGTTACAGCACTTTGAAGTAACCTTGGCAAGATGACAAACGTGGCCTCGCATTCAAAGGGTCACAGTGGCGAGGCTGTATCAAAAGTTAAAATCCAGGAACAATGTCTTAAAGTAGAGATTTCAAGCTTTAATTTAAAAAAAGAATCACCGTGCTGCGATAATTTTTCGCAGAATTATCGTCGGTCAAAGTTGGTCAAATTTTATCAAAAATATTTCCGTGCCATAATTTTTTTGTGAACAGTGGAATTTCGCGTATACCTCTCGTGGAAATTCGTGCAAATCCTTAATGCGACCGCAACCGGTGCACCCACTCTATTTGGAAATATATATTTAATAAATGTAGCATTACCGGGTACGAGAAGAATAATTTTATTCCGTCCTCGAACAGCTCGCAAAGCGGTAATCAGGAAATGAAATTTCAGTGTGCAATTAAACAGAATGAAGTTTTTGAATGCTAATGCAACGACACGTGCATACTTCGGATTCGATTCAGCTCGAAAACTGATTCATATAAATGCAGTTGAATTCATTCTGTCGGAAACCTTGCAGTACTACTCTGCCATCCAGAATTAATGAAATTGGTTAATTTTGTTCAACGCAAAGAACGAGCGCTCGAAAATGTTCAAAGCGGATAAATGAAAGAGAGAGGGAGAGAGAGAGAGAGAGAGAGAGGGAAGATCGCAGAGCAAAAACAGCCATCGAGAGATGAATATATTCTAATGATTTTGTTGCTGCATGGGAAACATCGGCTCTCGCCGCACCGAATGCACCGGGGAACGAGTGAAGTTGCATTTCGGTGAGTGCATTCACTCGTCGATGCATTATATTTCTTGCAGCAGCGCGGGCTGCATAATCGATGGAACATCATGCAAGCGCCGAGACACAGTTGCTTTTCTCTTTCGTTCCTAGTAGATGCTAAAGGCAATTTTGAATAGTGCTGCAGCAAAAATTCAATTCGACGACTTCAAAAGACTTCGAAAATACGAACGCGAGAGCATTCGTGCTCTGAAATCGGCCGCTACCGAAACTTATAGAAAATGTCAAGCGTCTAAACAATTCGATGTTCGAAGCACCGCTGCGATTCGAAAGCTTTGAAATTCGCACGTTTAAAAATTCAAAGACTCGATGAACGAAACATTTAAATATTTTAAGATTCGGGAATTCGAACGATTCGAACATTGAATTACTCAGAAATTCCAGTGACTCGGACATTTAAGTATTTAAACGCTCGAAAGTATTAAACGGTGAAATATTGAAACACGACGAAATCGTAAAAATCGAGGCTGCGGTAGGTTTAAAAATTCAAAGGTTCGTGTATCGCAAGTGGGCGAATGGAAGCTTTGAATTTGAATTGTAAGGAGCACGAGGTGCATAATCAATGGTGCACCGTGCAAACGGTTGCCGGTTATTTTCCTCTCTTTTTCCCGGCGCGGCGCGCCGGTTCGAACCGGTCAATATAACTTTCGATATTTCACCGGTTGGAAAAAGGCAATTACTTTTGATATGTGTCAGCATGGAAGGTAATCACATCTGTCATAAGCATACGGAGAAGATAAGTTATCGCTGTTCACTCGATTCGCTGGGTCGCTGTTGTGTACGTGCACGCGGTCCCACGCACACAGATCTCATCTTTAACGATCATTACAGCTGAAAATTGCGAAGCTCTCTTTATTTATTTCTTTGCCCGGGTTTGTTCGCGGAATCCCGATTCTGTCAACGCGATCGATTAAACGGCACTTGCTACCGCCGAAACCGGTCAGAGAAACAGAGAAATCCCTTACGGAGAATCCACGGGATACCTTTTGTTTAGAAATGTTCATTCGGTCGGCTTAATTACTCGGTATCCTATTCTTTTTTTAACGAAGA